TGCGTTTTGCAAATGAGCCGTCGCCTTTACAACAGGAGTGGGTGCTGTTTGGGTTCCAGCGCGCGCATCGTTATACATTGCCTTACTTCATTTACCACACATCATTTGCCATGGCGCGCGTTGACACCAAGAGTTCGTTCATCGATCAGATCCAAGTGAAGGGATCCCCTGAGCTAGGGGAGGAGAGCGAAGATCCAGTTCATCCGTCAGGGTATGTGTATCATATGGTGAAGGCCATAATAAAACCTCTTGGGACCTTCTTGGGGGGCCTTTTAGGAGCCCTCTTGTGGCGTCTTGGGGGCCGTCTTGGGAGCAGATTGGAGTGTTCTTGGGCCGGTCGGGACCCTCTTGGACCGTCAGTGGAGATTCTTGGGGCCTCATGGTTTGTTTTGGGACTTTCTGTTTTCCAACGAGGTCTAGCGGGAACAGTCACCAGCACGCGGGTCTCGCGCCACGACCATCACTCTGTGCATTTGGGGCCTGGGCCCTCGACGATTCAGTTATTCAAAAATTTCAGAATTGGAGGACGCGAAGACATTCCAAGTTGAGACGTACAGCGCGGTGGCTGATTGTCAGCGAGTCCCCAGAACTACCGACTGAGCCGCGCCGGTGTTCGGCGCGGGTGCCGCGGGCCTTATGAGCGACGTCCGCGCTGCTGGCTCCCCCTCGGGCCAAAATGTATACGACACATTTGCATGACAATTCATGTCAGCGCGGATGTTTTATGTCACCCCCAGGGGCGCGAAAATAACCGCGCATCGCGGTTTGCGTTGATGAAGCGCCCTTCTCCACGGCGGCGGCGCGAGGGCGCGAAGATAACCGCGCGTCGCGCATCGCGTCGCGCGACGCGCGAAGTTATGTGACCGAACAACGTATGTATCCGCGCGGATGTTCGTTGGTCGGTAAGCTCTGAGTAAAGTTGTGTCTCTTCGATAAAAAGGAAGCTGGATCGGCTCCAACGCCATCCCTGGCGCGCTCCGCGCGCCAGGGAGTGGGGTCGAGAAATCCGCGCGGACCTTTGAACATTTATGTATGCAGTTTCAGCGCGTTGCCATTCTGCCGTTGCCGCCTCTCGTCGTCGTCGCCGCCGCCGCCGCCGCCGCCGTCGTTCGCGTCGTCGCGCCCGTTCGTCGTCAGTCGTCGTCGTCGTCGTCATCGTCGGCGGAGGCGGCGGCGGCGGCGGCGGCGGTGGCCGAAGCGTCGTCGTCGTCGTCGTCGTCGTCGTCGTCGTCTTCCTCCTCGCCAGTGTCCTTCGCCGTCGCCGTCGCCTTGTGGCCGCCTGCTCTCCGTTCCGCCTAGGACCCGCGCCCTCCCGGGGTGCGCGCGCAGCCACCCTGGAATCCAAGAGCCTCAGAGTCCCGCCATTTGGAGGGTTTCTCCGAAGGGCTTAGGCGACCCGTCCTCCTCCTCCTCCTCCTCCTCCTCCTCCTTCTCCTCCTCCTCTTCATCCTCTTCCTCTTCCTCCTCCTCCTCCTCCTCCTCCTCCTCCTCCTCCATCTCCTCCTCCCCCTCCCCCTCCTCCACCTCCTCCTCCTCCTTCTCGGGTCGCCTACGGCCCCGGGGGAAACCGTGCACCGCTACCCTGACTTCGGATCTGCCGTACTTTGACTGCGTCGGAAATGCACCTGAACCGACGCGAGAAATTTGTGCGAAAATCTCAGCTTCAGAAGTGTAGCGCGGATGTTTCTGCAAAACTACGGCGGAAGCAGCGACGGCAAAGTAGGGCGGACCTCGACATCAGAGGAGCTTGAGAAGTAGGGCGGACATTTCCGCCCTACTTTCTAAATTGCCCCAGTTGCGAAATCGGCCTACCACACCACACGAAGGGAGGAGGACTGTGTTCAGATCGGGGAGCGTCGGGTGATTTCAAGAAGGGAGGCCAGGGCGTTCCTTGGCGTTCTCGACCTCGACCGAAGTCAGGCTGGACGTGCAGAGAGCTGCCCAGTCGCCCTCTGTGCTTGCCCAGGGAGAAAAATCCCTCCAACCCCTCCCCCGAAGGAAAGAGCAGCGGCACAAACACAGACGTTGGGAGGTCAAGGCGGGTTTCTCACGTCGGCGCTGAGTCCCCCTGGCGGCGCCTCCAGCGCCGCCCCTGGATCGCTCTACGCGCCGGGGAGGAATCGGCGCGGACTTGCGAATGCTTGTTTCTGTAGTTTTCACCCAGATGGGAGGGCCCACCTCTGCCTCGTCGCCCTCATCCTCACGTAACACTTCTCCGTATCCTCCTCCCACTCCAGAAGTCAATGATCAATGACAGATTAGATGCTGCCACGAGAGAGCCTTGGAACAAGATCGAGCAGGATTTCTGATCGGTCCTCAATTGCTGCCGCTCCAGCGCTCCGGCGCCGCACCTGCAGCCTCCCAGACGGTGCCCATGTGCGGGCGTGCTTCGTGCTTCGTGCTCCTCCCCCTCGCTCGAAGCAGGAGCAGCTGCATGAGCAGATGCTTTCGGATCCCTTTCTGCGATCTGAGTGGCGCAGGTTTGCGCCGCGCGCGGCTCGACACTGTTTGGCGAAGCGTCTCAGCGCGCTGCATGGTGAGAAGCGTGCTCCTTGTGTGTGTGGAGCACTCGTGCCAATCGCCGCGATGCTCTCGGAGCTCCGCGCGGATTCCTCGGGTCGGCGCCGGGCCGCCGCGACGGCGCCCCGCGCTCTGGAGGGGGGGCCCCGCGCCGATGCGAGAAGTGCGCGCGGAGCTCTCAGAGCGTTCTGTGTACGGCAGGCTCGCGTCGTGTCGACCGGCGGCGACCCCGCCGCGGGCGTTCAAGGTTGAACGCCGCCAGTGGTCCAGAATCGGCCTATATGGAACGATCGGGCGATCGAACAGCCGCCGATCGTTCAAGGTTGAATGATCCCTGCGGTGTCAGGAACCAACGCCCAGGTCGTCACGACGCGAACCTGCCGTACGCTGATGCTTCTTTTTCCCCCCATGTTAGGAAAACGTAATGCTCGAGTTCGACGGAAGTCGGGTTTGCCGACGTCTTTTGAAGAGCCCGCCTTGGATTTTGACGGTCTAGATTTTGCGGGGCGTCTGCAGCAGAGTCCGCGTCAAATTTAAGATTGGGTCTCGTCATTTTCCTGACGGCTACGTCAGGCCAATCCGAGTCTCCCGAACTCGAGTCTTGTCTTCCCGATGACAATATCGTTTCGCCAGAGGGTCCTGATCGGGGTGGGAAATATAGAATGAGGATCACTGAAGAGCCCCATCGTGAGGACGGGGAGCCCGAGACCGCGCGCTGCGGCAGCCGGTCCGGAAGCCATTTCGCTTGAGATTTTTGCATGAGTTATTCAGGGATCGTAATGTCGCCTCAGTGCCGGCTGCAGTTTGGGTCTTGACGGCCACCGTTCTTTGCAATAAATGCCTTACGGTGCACGTGGCCGTGCTTTCAGCTGCTGTTAGAAGGTGTTCTGCTGAGGTAGTGTCTCGAATTTATTCTGAGAGTGAGGGGACCGAGCGGTCATTCACTGTTCCTGGGTGCGTGGCTGAAGAGGGGTTCCGTGGTGCGGATCGTTGTTGTTTATTGTTGTAGTCTCATTTCTGAAGGAGACTTATTCTTGATCCCCCCTCTGGTGCACCTTCTGTTTTTTCATTGAAGTGCTCCTCTCGGGGCTCGCACCCTGTTTTTCATTAGTTTCATCCGAGAAAGTCTTGATGCTCAAACTGCGCCCCTGACCCTCGTTTACTATCAATGTCTCCCGCTTGATATTTCCTCACAATTTATGGGAAAGTCGCGATCTCCTGCGGGATTTCTTCAGAATTTATGCAGGAATCGCGCTCTCGCTTGGTATCACAATGTATTGCGGCGCCGTGCCCCCAAGACTCAGGAATCACGCTCTCGCTTTTTGGATTTCCGAGCGATCTACTTGGGAATCGCGCTATCGCTTCAAACCTCCTTCCGATTAATGTTGGATTGATGCTTCAGCGACCCGCCAGCTCGACCTGGCCGTCTGGGCCCGTCCGCCCGACCTGCCCGTTAGAGTCCGCCCGCCCGACCCGCGCGTCTGGTTCTGCCGCTTGTACTCCTGGTCCTAATTTTCCTGCAAATCTCTCACGTGCTCCATCCTTCTCCCCCCCCTTGTCTCTTCCCCCCTCCCTTCCTTCCCCTGTTTTAGTGGTTGCGCCAACTACACGCGGCAAGTAGGGAAGATATACGCCCAAGGGGGGTACGATCGAAGACGAATAGGGCGGGTGTCGAGGTTTTTGGGGTACGCGTGTTGAATGGCACGCGAGCAGACAAGAGCGAACAGTCTTGAAATGATCGATGTTGAGTTTTCATTTCTAAAAAACCATTATCGTTGATCACTCCCCGCCAGTGCACAGTGTTTTTCAATTACAGTGCTCCTCCCGGGGTTCGCAGCCTGTTTCTTACAAGGGACAGTCTTGGTGCTCAAACCGGGCCCCTGGCCTCTGGGTTACAACAACAACGTCTCCCGCTTGAGATTTCCTCACAGTTTCTTTCCAATTCGCGCTCTCGCGCGGGACTTCCTCAGAATGTTTGCAGGAATCGCGATTTCGTGTGGTACTTTCTCACAATTTACTGCGGCGCCGTGCCCCCAAGACTCAGGAATCACGCTCTCGCTTTTTGGATTTCCTAACCATTTTGAATTGGAAATCGCGCCACCGCTCGAAATGTTTTCCACGATTGATTGACGCTTCAGCGACACTCCCGCTCGACCTGGCTGGCTGGGCCCTCCCGCCCGACCTGCCTGCCAGTTAGGGTCCGCCCGCCCGACCCGCGCGTCTGGTTTTGCCGCTTGTATTCCTGGTTTGCTTGTTTTGCCCCCAGCTGCGACCCAGCCGCGACCCACCCGCGACCCACCCGCGACCCCCCCCGTGACCCACCCACGACCCGCCCGCGACCCACCAGCAATCCACCCCGCGGCCGCCCACTCACTCTTATCCGCAATCGCGGGGTGCTACATATTATCATTATGCTTTTTCGTCTACTACTCTTTCTCTGCTAGTCCCTATTCGTCTCTCTCTCTCTCTCACCTTCCAAGGTCTGGCTACATTCTCTCGGGCGCAGTCGTCGCGAACCTTGCGGTCACGATGCCTATTCTCCTGTACTGCCTATTCACAGGAGGGGCTGGAGGGAACGGCGAATTGGACCAAAAGATGCAGATCGTAAGAAGGAAACAAATCGGAGGAAGAGGTACGTATTGATACTCTGCTACCTTTTCTTCGTTTTCGCGCTTTTGGGCCTCCTGGGAAGCCCTCGTCGCCACGGCTGGATCCGCCCTCAAATTCTGGCCAGAACGCACCCCGGGAGAGGAGACGAGAGTAATGGCATCGATATCTTTTGGTTCCCACACGAATGCAAAGGCACACATTGTCAGGGGTCCACGCGTATTTTCTTGGATCTGCGTTGGGCCCCCCCCGGCAGCGCTTCTGGCGCCGCCCCTGGATCGCTCCGCGCGCCAGGGAGGGGGGTTCAGCGCCGATCCAAGAAATCCACGCGGACCCCCGAATACTTGTTTCTGCAGTTATCGCCCAGGTTGGAGGGCCCACCTCTGCTTGGCCTTCAGCCCCGGCCTCGTCCCACTTCTCCGTATGCTCCTCCCGCTCCCCTCCTCCCGCCTCTTGTCGATGATCCTCACCACGCGTGTTGGCACAATTTGTGTTTGCCCCGTTCAGCTCCGCGGGTAGCACCCAGCCCGTGTCGGCTCTCGTTTGCATTGGCTGCGCCTTACGGGAGGGCTTCGGTGGACAGGCGCACGTTTGCGCTGACACGTTCTGAGGATCGTCGATCTTGCTGATGCTCCAAGATCATGGAAGCGTAAGGCACGAGTTCGCGAGGACTCGGGTTTGCCGTCGCATTTTTACGAGCCCGTCCTGGACTTTGACGGTCCAGTTTTAGTATGATGTTTGCAGCGGGAGTCCGCGTCAAATTTCAGATGGGGTCTCGTCATTTTCTTGACGGCCCCGTCGGGCCCACCCGAGTCCCCCGAAGTCGAGTCTTACGTCTCGCCGGCAAGAGCTTCCTCCTGGCACACCCGAGACAGTGCGAGCGGTGCCGTGTGAGGTCCAGTCCCCGCCACGACGCCGAGAAAAATCTGAGGTCGGGGAGGGGTGCCTGTTGGGGAGCGCCCTCTGCTCGGGCCGCCCGATCTGCGAGTCCGATCAGCGTTCGTTTGTTTTGCTATTCCTTTTCTCTTTCTCTCCCTCACTCTTCTTTTTTTGTTTTTCTCTCTCTCTCTCTCTCTCTCTCTCTCTTTCTCACGAAGAAGAAGCAACCACATAAACATCAGCTGTTGGCGCTCCGCGCGGATTTCTTGGATCCGCGCCTGGGCCCCCCGGCGGCGCCTGCGGCGCCGCCCCTGGCGCACCCGCTCGGAGTGCCCCAAAAAATTGTTTATGTGGTTTTCTCTTCTTCTATTCTCTCTCGATCCCTTTCTTTGATTGCTAAGTTATATTCGCTCCTATCTTGGTTTTCTTAGTTCCCACATCCTAAGTGGGGTTCTTGTTTTCTCTGCACACCCTCCGCGCAGGATCTCTTCTCCTCCTCCTCCCCTCCTCCTCCTCCTCCTCCTCCTCCCTCTCCTCTCCTCCTCCTTGCTTCCTCCTCCTCCTCCTCCTACTCCTCCTCCTCCTCCTCATCATCATCATCATCACCACCATCATCACCATCACTATCACTCACTCACTCACTCACTCGCTCACTCACTCCTTCACTCACTCACTCACTCACTCACTCACTCACTCACTAACTCACTCACTCATCACCGTCACTCGCTTATGTCACCCGAGGAAGTCTCAGGCGGGAGCCCCCTCCCTATGGGTCCCGCACTTCGTATTGGTAATCCGAGCGGGTCATCCTCAACCGGTAACTGCCGTCATTTTTGGGCTCCTCAGGCCTGAATTTGGAGGAGGTATCAAGCGGGAGACTCGTCTGTGAGTGAATTGTGAGGAAGTCTCAGGCGGGAGCCCGCTCCCGATGGGTCCCGCACTTCATGTTGGTAATCCGGGCGGGTCATCCTCAACCTGTAACTGCCGTCACTTTTGGGGTTCTCAGGCTTGAATTCGGAGGATGTATCAAGCGGGAGCCTCGTTTGTGAGTAACTTGTGAGGAAGTCTTAGGCGGGAGCCCCCAATCCGAGCGGGTCATCGGCAACCTGTAACTGTCGTCATTTTTGGGGTTCCCAGGTTTGGATTTGGAGGAAGTATCAAGCGGGAGCCTCGTCTGTGAGTGAATTGTGAGGAAGTCTCAGGCGGGACCCCCCTCCTTCTGGGTCCTGCATTTCGTGTGTATAATGCGAGTGGGTCATCGGCAATCTGTAACTGTCGTCATTTTTGGGGTTCCTCAGGCTTAAATTTGGAGGATGTATCAAGCGGGAGCCTCGTCTGTGAGTGAATTGTGAGGAAGTCTCAGGCGGGACCCCCCTCCTTATGGGTCCTGCATTTCGTGTGTATAATGCGAGTGGGTCATCGGCAATCTGTAACCGTCGTCACTTTTGGTCTCACCAGGCTTGAATTCGGAGGATGTATCAAGCGGGAGACTCGTCTGTGCGTGACTTGTGAGGAAGTCTTAGGCGGGAGCCCCCTCCCTATGGGTCCCGCATTTCATGTTGGTAATCCGAGCGGGCCATCGGCAACCTGTAATTGTCGTCATTTTTGGGCTCACCAGGCTTGAATTTGGAGGAGGTATCAAGCGGGAGCCTCGTGTGAGTGACTTGTAAGGAAATCTTAGGCGGGAGCCCCCCCCCTATGGGTCCCGCACTTCATATTGGTAATCCGAGCGGGTCATCGGCCACCTGTAACAGTCGCCACTATTGGGCTCTTCAGGGGTGAATTGTGGGGAAGTATCAAGCGGAAACCTCGTTTGTGAGTGAACTGTGAGGAAGTCTCAAACCGCCTGCCCCCCGCTGTGGCGCGGGGGCAGGTGGTCGGGACAACAGCCCCGCGGGCCAAGCCGTTGGGACAACCCCGCGGGCTTCGAGCGGGGCGCAGCCGCGCTCAGGCGGGAGGCAGCATGAACCCAAGCTTTGCGGCGAGCTGTTCGGCCTCATCCCTGGATGTCTCCGCTCTCTTGTCGAACTCGTTCGCCCCGACCAAGGTGAATGGGAGGAACGTGCGGAGAAGAAACAGGGGAAGGACGAGGACGGGGTAGGGAGGGGGTGATGATGAGGAGGAAATGGAGAAGGAGGGGGGGGAGAAATAGAACGAGGGGGGTAGGTGAGGGCAGAGCGGCAGGCGAGAGGAGAGTGTCCGTCAGGGCGAGGAAGAAAAGGGTAATGGCAAGCTAAACATATCATGATGTGGGGTCTTTCCGTCGGAGTAATTCATCTGGGTGTATTCCTGCTCTTTTGTCAAAGCACGGGCTTCCCCACGCATTGGGCGCGTTGTAACGAGATTTTCTGCTCGTGCAGCTGCCTGTTGTCTCAGACGTCGTGGTACATTGACTGCCGCTTCTCACGAGCGTCTCGTCATCAACACCAGCATCATCACCATCAGCATCATCATCCTCATCCTCGTCCCCATCCTCATTCATAACATCATCGCCATCATCATCAGCATCACAATCGTCACCATCGCCATCATCATCTGCACCAGCGCCACCACCATTACCATCATCATCATCATCATCATCATCATCATCATCACCATCACCATCTCCATCCTCATCACCCTCACCCTCACAATCCCTTCATCAGTATCACCACCCTCATCATCAGCAGCATCATCATCATCCTCATCATGATCAGCATCATCATCATCAGTTTCATCTTCATCCTCATCCCCCTCATCATTACCACCAGCATCACCATCACCATCGCCATCAGCACCACCATCATCCTCCGCATCCTCTTCATCATCATCCTCATCATCATCAGCACCATCATCTTCAGTTTGGTTCAATGCGACACCCAAAGAGCTCTGGGCACGCACGCCCTGACCGAGCTGACCAGCTTGAGGCTTGACCTTAGGCATTCGTTTTTCTCGAGATCTACCCTCCAGTTTTTTTCTCGGGCACCGCCGTGTGAGCGTTTTGCAGCGGACGGGATGGCGACGACAGTTGCTGCTGCGGTGGAGCGCGCCTCTGTTCCCGCGCCCGAGTTGATTGCTATTGAACCGCCCCACCAGCGCCGCCGCGTTGGAGGCGGGCAGGGGCTGCAGGTGAACGACGACCCGATCGATGACGCCGACACGGACGCCGAGATGTTCGGCGAGGGCTTGGGGGTTGCGCCAGCTGCGGCAGCGGTCGCCCCTGGCCGTGGTCGGCGCGATCCGCCGCCGACGGACCCCGCTCAGCTCGGCGTGGCGAAGTACATCATAGAGTCGTTGAATGGGAGCCTGGGCGCTCGCGTGGAGGGTGTCGAGGCGCAGGTGGCCGCCCTGCGCCGCACGGTTGGCGCTCGCGGCCATCCAGGCGAAGATGAGGGCGCAGGATGCCGGGTGGAGACGCTCGAGACGGAGCGAGGAGCGTCGTCAGCCGCTAGCACGGCCGCGCCTTCTCGACCTTGCCTGGGCTCGGTCATGGGCGCGCAGCCCGACCCGTGAATGGCCTACAACATGCAGAGCGGAGTGCCGCCGCCGAACGTCCACGTGCCAGTGGGCAGGCCATCGCGCGAGTTCTGAAAAATACCAAGCATGTGGTCGTGGCTGGCTTTCCTGGCACGTGGGATAATGAAGAGGCCAGCAAGCACTTGCGCGCCGAGTTCGAGCAGCTTGGGACCCTAGAGAGCCAGGGCATCAGTGGAATCTACGGAGTGGGCCGCTTCAGTGACCCAGCGAAGGTCACCTTCGTCGACAATCAGCAGCCGTGGAGATTCATGAAGCGCGGGAGGGAGCTGGAGATCCCTTGTCCTGGCGCGATGAATGATTGGTTGTGGCACAAGGTGGACCACGAACCGCGCGAGGTCGAGCTCTCGCGGATGGCTGACTTCGCCGTCCGCATCTAGCAGGAGTTTGACATCCACCAGGACCTTGGCACGGGGGCAAACAAGCATGATACGTTCGACGCGGACTGGGGTCGCGGCCAGGTGGTCGACCGCAAGCACGGCGCGGAGCGCCCGATCCGCATCTCGCAGCGGTCGAGGAACTCGGCATTCCTCGGGTTCTGCCAGGGGCCGCTCGCTACGG